CTTCGAACCCGAACGTCTTTTCTCTATCAGTAGCCAGGGAGGCTTTGGCTCCCACTGAAGATGGGAGCTCGACTCACCTTCACCAGCGCCAGGACCCCGATTTCATCTTCATGCGGTTTTCAGATGAGCAAAATCGCACGGAGTTCTTCCCTTCCCTTGGCTCTATTTCCACCTCTCCCTCTCTGTCTCTTCCAGAGCGTTCTGGGAACCTAATACTGGGCAGGACCGAAAGGGGAGGCTGCCCTTCTCCTGCCGGTCCCTCCCGCCTGGGCGTCTTGGCAGCTCAGTCGGGCCGGGACGTTAGGGCCCGCGAGGGCAGCGGGTGCGGGCTGCGGGGGCCGCGAGGGCAGCGGGTGCGGGCTGCGGGGGCCGCGAGGGCAGCGGGTGCGGGGGCCGCCAGGGCAGCGGGTGCGGGGGTCGCGAGTTCGCCGCCCGCGTCGGCGCGCATCGCGCACTTGCGCGTCGCCCGCCCGACTCACTGAATCGACGCCGCCCGGAGCTGGTCCGCAGGCCGCGCGCAGGGGTGCGGGGCTCGCACCGGCGAGAGGGGCCGCGCCGAGGGGGCCCGGCGCGGCCCCTGCCCCTCGAGGCCGGGCCCGGAAGGGGGGAGTTGGGCGCGCAGAGCGCAGGGGGAGTGTCCACGGCGGCCCAGGCCCGGTCCCGAGGTTAAAGGTCCCAAAGCCTGAAGTGTTAGCGGAGCGGGGGTCGCGGGTGGAGTCCTTCTCCCCGCCTGTACCGGGAGGGTCGTTTGCCGAAAGCGCGCAGCAAGGAGAAGCGTGGCTCCAAGGCCGCGGCCGACGAAAGAAGACGCACGAGCTTCTGACAGGGCGGCTGTGTGGCGGGAGAGAGGCCGGCGTCCAAGAGGACAGTTCGGCCCGAGCGTGCAGAGCATCGGCGGCGGTAGGGTGGAAGCGCAGGGCGGCGGGTCGTAGGGGGAAGGCCCCGGGTCCAGTTCGGGGCCGCCGAACCTTCCCGACAGCGGTCTCGGGCCGCGCCGCCTCGGTTGCTGCGTCCCCCGGAGTCCACTGGTGATGTTGGGGACCCCGGGTCTCACGGGCGCCTCTCCTCGGCAACCCCTCCCACTCTTTGCTGAGGAAAGGAGTTGATGAAAACAGGCCTAAACAAACGATTTGACTCCAAGAGCCTTTTCCAGAGTCTCCTCCTGCAGTCCTCCAGAGCCAGCGACTGTCATGACCCTCCCCCACATGACCCCCATGACCAAAAGTCTTGCTTAGGGGAATGTAAAATAAGCAGGGGTGATAATGCTTCTCTTGTACGTGCTGCTCTCTACTTGGGGCTCACTCTTGTCCTTAATTTTACCAAGACCACCAAAGTCGAGGGCCTACTTCCACTTCCACAGAAAAGTCTGAGGCCTTCTCTGTAGCTTCCCTCATCATGTTCACGCTAATTCTTCCACACAAACCTTTCCTTTCCTTAGGCGGCTAATGCCTCCCCAGTCACCAGGGTGTCTGCTGGTCTCCAGTTTCCCTCCTTCCTGGACCTTCATTTCTTGATCCTCACTCCAGAGTGAGACGCTGCTCAGTGGTCAGACCAAGACCCAGCATGCTAATCAGTGACCTGACGACGCCTAAAATTCCAGACATCTGCCCACGGAAAGATCAGAAGTAGCAATGGCTTTGGTTTCAAGTATTCAAAATGACCCACCATACTCACCTGTCCTTTTAAAGACAGAGAGCTCTGAAAAATCCCTTGTTTGGAGCCTGTTCTGCTTTGGAATTAACCTAAGGGGTATAGTTGCCCTTTTTCCTTTTTAGCGTTGCCTCCTGAGACCCACAACCCTGTAATAACCTGTCCTGCTAGTGCAATAGATAATCCAACAGAGAGCACTGGACACGAAAAAGTGCAAGGAAAACCCTCCTTTGACCAGCAATGGAACCCAGACCTCCCACAAGGAAGGCCAGAATTCTGCTACTGAACCACTGATGCTTGTTTCTCAACTGCTGGAGTAGGTCTAATCAGAACGAGTCTCTGGAAGGACTTTGAAAAAGCAATTCTAAAACAGCTTTACACAGCTGTTCTCTTTGGAAAACAGCACATAGAAAACACTTGCAGCAAAGACTTGCAGAGGGGATTTATGTAAAGTAGCACTATAAAGTAATGGCACTCAAATCAAAATATCTGATTTGAAAGAGCCTAATTCTGGTGGGGCGGGAATCTTCCCAAGTAGATAGTAGACTTCTAGAAAAATATCAGAAAATGGGGCACCTCGTTGGCTCAGTTGGTAGAATATGCAACTCAATTTCAGTGTTGTGAGTTTGAGCCCTATGTTAGGTGTAGAGATTACTAAAAATCTTTTTTTTTTTTTTTTTGACAGAGAGACCCAGTGAGAGAGGGAACACAAGCAGGGGGAGTGGGAGAAAGAGAAGCAAGCAGGCTTCCTGCAGAGCAGAGAGCCTGATGCGGGACTTGATTCCAGGACCCCGAGATCATAACCTGAGCCAAAGGCAGACGCTTAATGACTGAGCCACCCAGGCGCCCGAGATTACTAAAAATCTTTAAAAAAAAAAATTAGTTCAGACTCTTGTGTCTGGTCCTAAATCTAGTGTGGACCTATGGAAAGCTAATTTCCTCCCTGGCTGAAGCAAACTCTGCCCTTCCATTGCTTGGTGCCTCCCAAACCCTTTCCTCCCATTTTTTTTCACCAGTTCATTATACAGTGAAAGTTCAAGAGGCTGGCTCTTTGCGTACCCGCTGAGTTACTCAGGAAAATTGGGGTGATAATTGAGTTTCTCACCTCTGAAGCTTCTTTTGAGTGTCTAGAAAAGACCAAGGAAAAAATAGCCCAGCTTTTAAACTGTGATGTCTTGCAGAGACCTATACAGGATGGATAAAAAGTGAAAATTCCAAGATTTCTTTCCTTCATCACATCATCTTGGCCACAGAAGGCAGTCAGTGAAAAACAATTTGACATTTCATGTAGACACTAGAATATCACTTCTTCAACCAATTTAAAAGCATCCCCCTGCCCTTTGTCTTTGTATGAGAGTCATATCTTCACTTACAGTGCCTTACAATTAGCCTGGTACAGACTTGTACTATTCTTTTTTTTTTTTTTTTTTTGAAGATTCTATTCATTTATTTGACAGAGAGGGAGAGGGAATACAAGCAGTGGGAGTGGGAGAGGGAGAAGCAGGCTTCCCGCTGAGCAGGGAGCCCGATGCCTGGCTCTCTGCTGGGCTCCATGTGGGGCTTGATCCCAGGACCCCGGGATCATGACCTGAACCGAAGGCAGACGCTTAACGACTGAGCCACCCAGGTGCCCCTAGACTTGTACTATTCTTAATATATAGCCCTTTTCTGTCTAACACACTGCCATAGCTGGAACTTACTTTTATACCCAATTTGAGAGGATTTGAATCCATTGTAATTGGTTGTATTTAGTGTTGGTTAGAGATTGCTGACAGTTGTTTTCACTTCCACCACCTCATTGTGTGATTTCTGTTGTTAAAAAAAAATTTCTCCCTGCCGGAGTCCTGAGATCGAGTCCCACATTGGGCTCCTAAGGAGCCTGCTTCTCCCTCTGCCTGCCGCTCCCCCTGCTTGTGCTCTCTCTGTCAGATAAATAAATAAAATCTTAAAAAAAAAAAAAAAAGAATAACATTAGTTTATAAGTCATCCCAAGGTGGCCACTACATGTATTCAAAGACATATACAAAAACTCTTTCAGGGGCGCCTGGGTGGCTCAGATGATTAAGCATCTGCCTTTGGCTCAGGTCATGGTCCCGGGGTCCAGGGACCGAGCCCTGCGTTGGGCTCCCTGCTCAGCAAGAGCCTGCTTCTCCCTCTCCCTCTGCCTGCCGCTCTGCCTGCTTGTGCTCTCTCCCTGTTTCTCTATCAAATAAATAAATAAAATCTTAAAAAAAAAAAACTAAAAAACTCTTTCAATGACTTTGACAAATGGGAAAGATACCCTGTGGAGCTAGAAAGAATTTTGTAAGTGACAATCACAATATATGTATATAGAGATTAAAACACAAAGCGATCCACACATACAGGAGGAGGGCGGGGCTAGGAAATAGGGATGTCAAACTCGACTTCCAAGTTTAATGAAAAGCCAATATATTTCCTCAATGAGGGAAAAGAAGCAGACATAACCCTGGGCTATGGCAAGAAGAAAATTCAGACACAGGATAGAAATCTTTATAAATTAATTATTCACACACTGAATATTATACTCAGAATTTTTCTTATAATATTAAACTGATGTGGAATAAAACTAGAGAACCAAAGAAGAACACCAAGACTACCAAAAAGTTTTAAATTTTTCCTGACGGAAAAGTGAAGTGACTTCATGACAGTCCTTAAGACAATGAAAGAATCTGGGAAAATATTGATTCCTTCATGTTTTCTATGCACTTACAAGAATAAACAATGAAAAATATGCTTAAATTTTAGAAAGAGGTGTGGTATCAGCACATGGGCACACAAATACTGAGAGTGGCTGCTGGGGGCTTGGGGGGACTTCACAACAGACCAGGTGACCTTGTGTATCAGCGAGGCCTCAGCAACTGGAAGACAGGGGCTCCTAAGATTCCATGACACCCCCCCACTTTCCAGTTCTGTTATTGTGACTCCAAACAGTTACCTGGCAGGCTGGGTACTCCATCTGGCACTCTTGCCAGAGCCTGAGTTGCAGGCAGTGCCCCAGGCTCTGAGCTCTGGTATCTTCTACCTTGTTTTTGTGGTTAAGAATTCTTACAGTTGTGGAATGCTGAAGAAGTTTGGCCCCAAAGTAAGTATGAATTACATCTGCAAACTTTAGACCTGTTTAAGTCCATTTTTTCCCCACCTAATGAAATTTTGAGGTATAATTTACAAACTATAAAACTCACTTATTAGGATTGTACAGTTCAATGATTTTTAGTAATTTACCAGGCAGTGCAGCCATCACCATAATCTATTCACTTGTTTCTAATTATTTATTGGGTTTCTGCTCCCCAGGTCCTGGCTCTACTTCTTCTACCACCACAAGCTTCAGCATGGCAGAATCTCCCACCACTTTCTCTGATCCGAGGACAGAAATGAGCGTCCTGGAAACCAACCAGTACTTGTGCTCCCAGCTGGAAAAAAACAAACAGAACTTCCGAGACCTCATGGAGAAATTCCTCACATCCAAGGCTACTGCTTACATCCTGGCCAACCAGCTGCAGAAATACAGTAAGCCCTATGGGTTCACAGTCACCAGAGTGATAAATGATTGTCTAACTTCCCTATGAGAAACTAAACACTCTCCAAACTTTATTCTTCTCTCTCCATCAAAATATATCTCGTCCTGACTATACTCCTGGAAAGGTAGAAGTGGGTATTTTACCCTCAATTTGCAAAAGATGGAGACACTGAGGCACAAAGGAGTAAAGTTTACAGTGAGAGGTAGGGAGGCAGAGAGGCTAAAACCCTGGTTCAGACACTGAACTATCTTTTCTCTCTCAGGAACATGTGTCAGATTCTAGAAACATATAGTATCACTTTTATTAAGTACCCTTTGCAAAGCATTGTGCTAGCTGCCCTGGGAGTGTACTAGTATTCTCTACCTGCCTTATAGGAGCTTAAAGCTGTCTGTTCCCCGCTGAACCGCAGATACCTGGAGATCAGAACATCGATTGCAGACGCAGAGGGAAGTCCTGATGCCTGGAGCAAGATTTTTTTTCCCATATGAGTTTTAAGAAGCTGTTCCTCACACTCTGGTGAGATTGAAAGTATTTCCAGGAAAATCAGAGACTCTGTAACACCTTTTCGATCTCTCCCTGAATATGAACTTTGCAGACAGCAAGCTAGTCCAGGATCTGGGCTTTGAGACGTGGAGCCAAAATGAGAATGGAGGAGCTGACCCTTCCCTCTCCATGCTCAGCTCTCACATTTGGAAATCCTTGGACAATCCCAAACCTGTGGGTAATGGGGGGGCCAGAGGGGAGGCGGCAGGAAGCTGTAGTGACTGAAGGAATCATGATGTAAGTGAGGACACATAAGAGACAGGAATATTAGAGGAGGATTCTTGCTGATATTGAAGTAGAGTTTGCTTTCAAATTTCTACAGTTATTTTTCAATAAATCAATGGGGGATAAAATTTGCTATCCAACTTACTAGACATGGAGAAAAAAGCTAAAAAGCCTACTTTTTCAAGAAGGAAAGGGGCTTCTGGGTGGTTCAGTTGGTTAAGTGACTGCCTTCAGCTCAGGTCATGATCCCAGGGTCCTGGGATTGAGCCCCTCATCAAGCCCCGCATTGAGCCCCACATCGAGCTCCCTGCTCCCTGGGATCAAGCCCCGCATCGGGCTCCCTGCTCCTCAGGGAGCCTGCTTCTCCTTCTCCCTCTGCCTGCCACTCCCCCTGATTGTGCTCTCTTTCTATCAAATAAATAAATAAAATCTTAAAAATAAAGAAGGAAAAGATGAGCTTTGGGATGTGGAAATATAAGGGTTTTTTTTTTTTTTTTTTTACATCGCTCATTAAAATCACAATTGTAAGACAAATTTTTTGAAGCTAAAGAAGAAAAGAGATATCACCCTAGATCTTAGTATAAAGATAATACAGTGCAGTGATTAAGAGCATGTATCCTGGGCCAGACTTCTGGGGTCAAATCCAAGTTATCCTCTTTGTACCTCAGTTTCCTCATCTGTAATGGTAATAATAATATTTACCTTTTTAGCTAGTGGTGATGATTACATGATAATAATTCTTGAAAATCTACTAGAACAATGCCATGGAAGCACTATGTATTAGTTCTCCTCTATTCTAACACAACACCTGGTAGCATTCGAACATATATCTTTCAGATTTTTTTCCCCTCCTTATACATATTACACAGTTGTATCCAAATAAACTTGGAAATTTTTGAAATATTGGGGGGATTATTGAAACTCTCAACATGGGAGAACTATCAGTCCTACAAACTTTGGCGCCTTCTCCAACACACAGGAAATCACTACTTTATGTCCCAGGTTAATGCTTTACCTAAGAGGCTACAAGGCTTGGTAAAGTGGCCCAAGATTTGGAGTCAGACCTCAGGGGATATGAATTCTGACTTGTCTCCTTCCAGTTCAATTATCTTGAGTAAGTTACCTGCCCATGAGCTTCTCTTTCCTCATATCTAAAATGGCATGTAATCTGGGAGATTGAGGAATGAGATGTGGAGCTCCCAGCATGGAGCCTGGTTGCCAGGGTTCCATTTGTCCTTGGGATGGACCTGGACCCTGCCTCCTCCTTTGAAGGCAGCGAGCACAGCAGCTTGTCCAGCATTCCCCTGAGGCAGGTGTGTCTGTTTTCTCAGAGAGTGAAGAGTACAAAGGCCTCATCGAATCCGTGCTGGAGGAAGAAGTACAGTTTGACAGGCAACTGGCAGAGAAGATGAGACCAGCTACAAGGCTTGGGTAAGTAGGTACCTGTGTGGGAATGTGTGAATTACTGTTTGAAGTGGGGCAGCCCAGGCTGCTAGTATAAAGAGCGCATTTGTCCAAGGAGAGGGATAGAAAAGTACGTGGCAGGCACAGAACTAGGTAAAGACAACTGGCGGGGCTGTGGGAATTAGGGGGTAGTGTAGTTAGGTCTCTGGGGTTCTCCCTTAAATATCATAGGAATAAAATGGAGACAGACACCTGAGATGGAGTACTAGCAATGTGGCTTCTAGCTGTGTGACCTTGGGCAAATTTACTTAACTTTCTTTTTTTAAAAGATTTGATTTATTTATTTGACACAGAACCAGAGAGAGAGAGAGACAGAGCAAGCACAAGCGGGGGAACGGCAGGCAGGGGAGAAGCAGGCTCTCTGCTGAGCAAGGAGCCCGATGTGGGGCTTGATCCCAGGACCCTGGGGCTCGATCCCAGGACCCTGGGATCATGACCCGAGCCGAAGGCAGCCGCTTAACCAACTGAGCCACCCAGGCGCCCCAAATTTACTTAACTTTCCTGAATCTTAGTTACCTCAACTGAGGTACAACTTCATCTGTAAAATGAAAATACTAACAGTATCATAAACCCTCAGAGGGCTATGAAGATTAAATGCATTAATACAAGTTAGAACCATCTCTGACACATATGAAGCTCTCAACAAATAGTTTCTGTAATTATTATACTTTTATTTATTTATTTACTTATTTATTTTTTAAAAGATTTTATTTATTTATTTCACAGAAAGACACAGCGAGAGAGGGAACACAAGCAGGGGGAGTAGGAGAGGGAGAAGCAGGCCTCCCGCCAAGCAGGGAGCCCGATGCGGGGCTTGACGCGGGGCTCGATCCCAGCACCCTGGGACCATGACCTGAGCTAAAGGCAGACGCTTAACAACTGAGCCATCCAGGCACCTCTATACTTTTATTTTTTTATAGGTGTGGTGGTTGTCATTAATGAACTAACATTTTCTACTACAAGAAATATTTTCCAAGCTTTCCAAAGTGCCTTTTCATGACAAAAATGTTTCTCCTTCTCAATCTTGATTTTTTTTTTTTTCTAAGTATTATGCTATGTGGAGTATTAACTGGTAGGGCTATTGGGTATATAGATAATCAAGCAGCTGTTGTCTGGAAAATAGTTTATTAATAATTTAGTACTGAGGACTAGCATTGTTTATCCTCAGAGAGTTTCAAATATAGGGTAGATTGTGGCATTCAAGATGTCTTTTAACCCTTTGTTGAAATGAAATCTGAGAAGCTCAAATATGTAAAATCTAAAGCAGAGATACTTGATTGAAGGAAGCCTAGGTCTAGAGCCTCTGTTGTTCTCTAGTCTATGTCTTCACCAGCTCTGACACTTTACAGGAGCTCTATGGAATAGAGTTTGAAAGACAGTCTGTAGACTATCACTTAGTAGGACAGCAGGGAGGAGATTCAGGCATCAGATGAGGTAGATGACTATAAATGTCTAGTCCAGCTTTGGGATTATGTGGTTCTATGTGGTATTAACTGAATACCTACTTGTGTATGTACACTCCGTTGGGTACTGTAAGTTGCATAATATGTGGCACTATCTCCAGCCTCAGGTGGCTCAGTTGGTTAAGCGGCTGCCTTCGGCTCGGGTCATGATCCCAGGGTCCTGGGATCGAGCCCCAGGGTCCTGGGATCAAGCCCCACATCGGGCTCCTTGCTCAGCAGAGAGCCTGCTTCTCCCCTGCCTGCCGTTCCCCTGCTTGTGCTTGCTCTGTCTCTCTCTCTCTCTGGTTCTGTGTCAAATAAATAAATCAAATCTTTTAAAAAAAGAAAGCTCACAGAGAGCTTTCTGAGGCTCACATTTTAGATTGGAATCCATGCAAAATATTTGTATAGTCATTAGAAAATGGTGAAAACCCACTTAGAATGATGTAATTGTTGTAACTCAGAACTTTATTTACTCTTTAGTGTCTCCTTACGGATTATGGCTTATTTGCATGTCACCGAAAAGAATGCTATGCTTCTTGACCCTTTCATTGATTTTTCTTTTCATTCTTTGAATCAACACCACGTGTACCCACCCAACACTTCTATATCTGGCTTGTGCATATGTGCATGCCACTTTCTGCATAATGCTTGATGATATATAATCCATGGAAGTGGATGTGGGCTGAATTGAGGAACTGAAGGGGCATCTTTTCAAAGTAAAGTTAATAAAAAACAAAGAACCAAACCCAATGCTGTTTCCTCATTCCCTCTGCCACAGGCAAGTCATACAACCTGTGTAAAAATTCAACTTGGGAAGTTCCTTAGGGGCATTCTACGAGATGTCTCTGCTGAAACTCCCATAACCTATGCACTGTTACATTTTACTTGTTTTTCTTACTTTAGGAAATATGATCCCCTAATTCAGGCTCAGGCACAAGAACTGACCCACTTACGACAGAGGATACAGGAAGGGAAAGGTGTCTGTTATCTTTTCATTCAGCATACAAAGAGCACGGTCAAGTCTTTTGAAGGCCTCCTCAGGAGCACTGACATTGCCCGCTACCAGGGACAGAGATTCTGTGAACAACTGGCCCAAGGAAGCCAGCTGGCAGAGAACCTTGCCAGCAAACTCACCACTGGTAAGTTGGCTTACAGGCCATGGAGACCCTTAGGTCCTCACAAAGATCCTAGCCTCACGTAAGTCTCCAGGACTTATGCTTCCAGGACTCTACGAGTGACTTTTTAGCCAGATGTCCTACTGTTTTGTGCCCTTCTCAGCCTATTGATAGTGATACTATCAGGTGGAAATACCTACCATCGTTGCTCACCTGGGCCCAAGGGGAGCCCCCACAGACATTTCCCCTTTCTTCTAAGGATAATTGATTTACAGTAAAATGGCTCCCTGTAGTGTCAGTGCTGTGAGCTTTGAGAAATGCATATAGGGTGGTGTAAGCACCACCACAATCAAGATACAGAATAGTTCCATCACCACTAAAAGTTCCTTTGTGCCTCTATGTAGTCAACCATTGTCTCCCGCCCCAGTTTCTGGAAGCCACTGGATCTGTTTTCTGTTCCTACAGATTTTCCATGTCCAGAATGTATCAGTAGTTTGTTTCTTTTTCTACTGTTGAGTACTATTCCATTATATGGATATACTACTTTTATTTATCTATTTACCCATTGAAGGACATTTGGATTATTTCCAGTTCGGGGCAATTATGAATAATAGCTAGAAAGATTCACACACAGGTTTTTGTGTGAAAATACATTTTCACTTCACTTCACTTCAATTGGGTAAATATGTAAGAGTGGGATTGCTGGGTCACGTGGTATGTGAAGAGGAAACTGCCACACTGTTTTCCAGTGTGGCTATACCATTTCAGATTCCCACTGGCGATGTGTGAAAATTTCAATTGTTCCCCAATATCAACTTTTGATAATTTCAGGTTGTTGTTCTTTTGCTTTTTGTCTTTTTAGCAATTTTAATAAGCATGGGGGCAGGGAAGGCATTGTGGTTTAATTTACATTTCCTTAATGACTAATGATTTTAAGGATCTTTTCAAATACCTGTTGACTCTCCTTATATCTTTGGTGAAGCCAGTGTTCAAACATTTTGTCATTTTAAAATTGAGTTGTTTGTTTTCTTATTATCAAGTCTTAAGGGTTCTTTACATTTCTGCATACAAGTCCTTTATGAGATATTAAATTTGCAAATATTTTCTCCTGGACTATGGCTTATCTTTTCATTCTCTTCACAGTGTCTTTCAGAGAGCAGAATTTCTTAATTTTAATGAAGTCCAACTTACAGATGATGCTTTTGTAGTTATATCTAAGAACTCTTTTCCTAAAACAAGATCCTTTGCCTTTCCATATAAATTTTACAATCAGCTTGCCATTATCTGTTAAAAAAAAAAAAAAAAAGCAACAGCAACAAAATCCTCTTGGGATTTTGAGTGGCATTGCTTTGAATTTATGAAAAATTTGAGGAGAATTGACATTTTTAATAATACTGAGTTTTCTGGGGGCACTTAAGTGGCTCAGTTGGTTGAGTGTCTGACTCTTGGTTTTGTCTCAGGTCATGATCTCAGGGTCCTGGGATTGAGCCCTGTGTGGGTTCTCTCCCTCTGCCCCTCCCCTACTCTCTCTCAAATAAATAAATCTTAAAATAATATTGAGTTTCCTAATTAATGATCATAGTGCCATATTAGGCTGAGGAAGTTCCCTTTTTAATTTTTTTTGTTTTATTTATTCATATTTGAATGAACAAACAAATCTTTTGTTTTTTGTTTTATGATGGTGACTGCTGACAACAGGGAGAAAAAATTATGTCTCCTAATGCAAACATGAGGAGTCATGGTCCAACCAAGAAATGTTTCCACCTTATTTGAGGAAGTTCCTTTTTATTCCTTATTTTCTGAGAGTTTTATTTTGAATAGATGTCAAATTCTATCAAATGCTTTTTATTCATTTATTGAAATGCTTGAATATTATATCGTAAGACCCTGGGTCCTGTTAAAACCCTCCAGAAATTATTTTTTTTTAAGATTTTATTTATTTATTTGACAGAGAGAGACATAGCAAAAGAGGGAACACAAGCAGGGGGTGTGGGAGAAGGAGAAGCAGGCTTCCCGCTGAGCAGGGAGCCCAACCTGGGGCTTGATCCCAGAACCCTGGGATCATGACCTGAGCCGAAGGCAGACACTTAACGACTGAGCCACCCAGGCACGCCTGGAAATTATTTTTTAGCAGGCAATCAACCCCATTAGGGTCAGATTCCCAAGTTCTGTCTCACCTTCTATAGGCAGTGGTTCCAATATCAGGTGAGCGTTCAGTACCTTTGATATGCTGTTGTTTGGGTTGGTCCGGCAAATATGTTACTCAGGTTTAGTCTGGAGTAGATGGTGGTTTATGTGGTAATTCAGTTATTTAATCCTTTGTCATGATCTGTTGGGCCAATTCCACACATATTCGGTTTGGGGATGAGTCCTGGTACTTTTGTCAGCTCATAGACCGTTTTCCAGCCTCTCTTCTCTCTGGTATTTCTTCTATACTTTCAAGTTCCCAAGGGTCCCTTTTCCAAGTTCCTCTGTTTAGAAAGATTGAGTTTTCTCAGAGATTTCTCTTCTCACACTGCATTGCAGTTCTGCATGACTGGGGCTACTTTGAGAGCAAGGAGGCAAGAGAATTGAGAAATAGAAAATAAAAGGGAGCACTCTTCACACTTTTTAGGCAAGAGGTTCCTTTTTCCTGGTTCTTTTGATGAGAGAAATTCTCTTTTGTGGTTCAGGTCACTGTCCAGTTGCCTTGACAATACAGTTCAGCAACTGTGCTTGTCTCTAGGTGGGGTCAGGAAAAAAAAGGGGGAAAAAAAAAGAGGGAAGATTCTCTTCACACACTCTGGCATGCACAAGTGCCTTTGTCAAGTCATTTGGTTAGAAAGGTTAAGTGGGTTCTCCTGAAGTTGTTGCTTCTCAGAGACTGCAGTGGGTTCTTTATGAGAGCCTAAAAGGACATACAACCATGGTCTAGCCACCAGCTATGTGGCAAAAATGAAGATTACAGCTGCAGAAGTCCAGAAGGCGGCTGAATGTGTATTCTGTGCACTGGACAGAAGACATTTTCAACTTTTTGCCTTGACTTGGTAGTAGATGTCATGGTGATGATCTGCCACACCAGGAAGAGACCGTCCGGTGTTGCTCAGGAAAGCTTGCCAGGCTACTTCTCTGAAGACACAACCTAAGCCCTCTCTCTCAGAGTATTCTGAACAAACATGCAGAGTATTACGCCTCCGATCATATAGGCCCTCATATTTGTAATGTGTGAAATGGGACCTGCTCAATTTCTGACTAACTGTTTCTATTTTTTGGTTTGTAGAAAATTACAATGATAAGAAGGATGAAGATGGACAGGAGCCCCTGGCACCCAGGTAACTGAATGCTGAAAGGGCCAGTAATGGAATGGTGAAGTCTAGAGAAGATTCCAGAAGCAAGACACCAAGAGGCCAAAGTCCCAGATCCAGGAAAAAAAACTCAGAAACTGCTGATTTTACCTATTTCATTCATTCATTCATTCATTCATTCATTCATTCATCATACAATGACGTGTCTGTCCTTTTAAACAATGTTGTCTGTTTTCTGTGCAGTTCTTGTATTGGTTACCATTTCCTAGTAATTCATCAAGGTTAATTAGCTAGAGTCAGTCTGACATAAAGGCCAGAGATCCCTGGTTTCTGTAGTCTAAAAACCTGTATGGTAAAAACAAAACAAAAAAAACCCAGAGTGAGACATTGTCTCAGGAGCCACTAATTCAGTGGACCACTTCATATTTTTTAAACAAAAGTTGTCCACAGCATTTTAAGGTCTCTGTGTGTCATAAGTGTTTTTGAGAGTAGTTGAGTCTACTTCCTGATCCACGTTATGTGGCCAGCACACTGAGCAGCTGCTGCTCCCTTTTACCAAACTCTAGGCACAGTAACCCTAGTCACAAGTGGATTGATATGCTTTCTCTCTCATCCAGATGGCCTTTTTGGTTTCTGGGGTCTCTTCCAGGAGCTTGAGATAGGACCAGCTGTGAAGCTGTGGTTCCAGGTTGCCTTAGTTTAATCTCCTGTCTTACCTCCCTTCCCTGCCCCCACCCCAGGCTCTGCAGGGAGCTCCAGGAGGAAGAAGAGAATGAAGTCTCAGAAGACTCACTAGATGAACGGTATTTGACTCATTCCAGTCACTGTGACTCTCACCAGCCTCCCAGCAGCAGTGCTTTCCCCTCTGATGTGCAGGAAGCCAGCTCTGTTGCAGAAGTCACCAGTGAGTACTCCCATTATAAAGAGAATAAAACTCCACCAACACTGGAAAAATGTGGAGAATAAAGCTCCAGTAGCTTCTACATGCTTACCACCTCTGTCTAGGCTGAATGAGATCATCTCTGCAGGCAGGCCCTAAAGATTAACCTTGAAAAAGTGACCAGGCTGAACACAGCTCTGGGACCAAGTTTCAAGTACAGGTCCCTGGTGGGTCAGGTAATTTGCATTGTTCCTGGTCCATACCTCACCTCAGTCACTCTAGTCCCCACTGGCATGTGCAAGCGGATGGACTCCAGGCAAGTCAGATTGAGAGTGAAGGGATCATGGCAGACTCTCTGCTACCACTTCAGCATGTATACAGAATCTAATAGACCTCCTCTAAGATGAAGCATCTTAGCTTTCTGGGAATGTTCTTGCTAATTATAGTTCCTGAACAGTGTCCCTTAAGCTTTTCTAACTGCCTGAGAAATACTAGCAGTCTTGCCCATATTTTTGGAGGTGCATTATCATGGTTCCAGTCTCCAGTCTTCATCTCCCCTCAGATGACTTGCTTCCTTACAAGGTTCCATCTTAGTACCAGAACATCAGGTGGTTTCCCTAAGGACAAGGCTCAGCTCTTGGCAACCCTTGGGTAAATGGCTAGGGTTCCCATCCTTTGTGTGGTACCATTTTTAAAAAATGTCTGTGGGTTTAGTCTCAGTGCTTTAAGAGCCCCTAGGAGTAGAAGCCTCACTGGTGTGTGTGTGTGTGTGTAGATTAAAACCCCAACCTTCATCTCCTTTCCCTTTGTTTGACTTTCCTTTGGGGATAAAAGTTTGGATTGTTAGAGAATTATATGTCTTATGTCCTCTTGTAGGCATGAGAAAGAAACTTTTTAAGATTTTATGTATTTATCTTTATTTGAGAGAGAGAGAGCACGCAGGGGGAGGAGCAGAGGGAGAGGGACAAACAGACTTTGTCCTCACCACTGAGCCCTATGAGGGTCTCGATCTCACCACCCTGAGATCATGACCTGAGAGGAAATCAAGAGTCAGATGCTCAACCAACTGAGCTACCCAGGCATCCTAAGAAAGAGACTATCTTAATCCAGTCAGTGTTAGCTGAGTTTTTAAATAGTGATGTAAGCTATGTCAGGTTTTGTCTTTTTGCCAATGGTGGGTGCTTTTTATTACCCAGGCAGTCCCCTTACAAAGGCTTCCTCATTCCTATTTCCCATTTCACCTTGAGATGTAGAGGGAGGTCTTTGTCATCTATTAAAGATGTCCAGTCATAAATCATGTGGGAGAGGTATTTAGTAGAGACATTAACTAGTACCTGAAAGTCTTAAATAAGAAGTGGCCACACCTCTCCCAGTGCTAGATAAGCCCTACTCAGAAGGCTTATTTGGTATTTTCCCACCTTGTGTCAACCTCCTTTATACTTCCCTTATCCTTGTGTGAGAGGTGGTCCTGTGGAGTTTGCTTAGCACTGGAACATGCTTTGTTTGAAGGCCTTTAAGGGCTGTTAAAGGAAGTCCCCTGGTGTTCCCTGATGAAAGAGGAAGTTGGCAGAAGAATGGCGAAAGGCAGGAATCTTGCTGAGAGGCCCTTGGCCACCCCATTAGTGATAAGAATTCTCCATCTTCTACCTCATTCCCTGTCCTGGTGGAATGGCTGCAGAAGATGAGATCCAGAGCCTGCACCGGCACCTGAAGGAAATTATTTTCATCAATGACTGCCTTCAAGAAAAGCTGCAACATCATCTCAGCGTTTCTGACCAAGGAAACGGTAGGGGCGGCCCAAGTCTGCCTGCTTCTGGCAATATGTATCTTTCTAAGGACTTGTGTGTTTCAGGGCTTCACAGATTATAAGAACTTAATATACCTTACTTCACTTACTCTTAGAAATGGCCCAACTAGGGAGAATAGGGCAGGTATGAATAGTCCTACTTTTTTTTTTTTTTTTAAAGATTCCATTTATTTATTTGACAGAGAGAGAGAGACACAGCGAAAGAGGGAACACAAGCAGGGGGAGTGGGAGAGGGAGAAGCAGGCTTCCCGCTGAGCCGGGAGCCCGATGCGGGGCTCGATCCCAGGACCCTGGGATCATGACCTGAGCCGAAGGCAGACGCTTAACGACTGAGCCACCCAGGCACCCCTGAATAGTCCTGCTTTTTAGATGAATAAATAAGCTCAGATAGAGGTTTGCCCCAAGGTTGAGCTATCCCTCTATCTTCGAGTTGTCTGACGTCCAAAGCCCTTCTTGTGACTCCTCTGCTGTATGCTTTCTGCTGCTCCTCTCCTCTTGCGTGGTAGTCATTCAGTAGAACTCAGGTTGCTGAGTACCACGTTCAGCAGAGCGAGGGTCCCTGCTGCTGCCATCCTCATCCCCCTCTCTAATGTCTTGGTTACTCTTCATTGTCCCCAACGTGGTTCTTCTCCCCACATCCTCCTCCTGGATTGCACTCACACAGAGGCCATCATTCCTCAGTCTTGGGCTGGGCCAGAACAGTGACTGGGTCTCTTTCCACATCAAAGCAGCAGCTATGTCATGAGAAAAGTCTCCTTCATAATTTCAGCCATTGGATGTGATAATACTAATGAATGAGCTGGCATTTGTTAAGGGCCTTGTGAAAATTAAGCTTCTGTCCCATTACACTAAAGTCCCAACCTTTGAGTACCCAGGGTTTTCTTCTGGGCTGAGAAAGAAGGGGAAAAGGAATTGCAGAAAGCATTATCTCAAGTGAATGTGTTTAAGTTGCCTAAACTGTAATTATTTCCTGGAATAGGATGCACGTCTAACCTCAACAGGCAGAGCTTGGAGTCTATTGCCCAGCTGTACAATGAAAACAGAGGTATCAGGGAAGAAAGTCTGAGCCTTCTGGCTCACCTGAATCGTATTTCCAGAGGTAAGTGGTCAAAACCCCCAAGAGAAGGTCACTCTCAGAGCCTTCTTTTCTCTTGCCATACCCAGCTATAAAAACAAAAGGTGATGGGGAGGCCACAGCTACCCAAAACCTCCTGACTCCTAACTCTCCATGTAGAGAGGGCTACCTCGTAGGTGCTCCCTCTACAGGTCCCCAGTCTCCAGGCTCCAGGAAGGAGTACCTCTGGGAAATCCACCCTTCAGGTACAAACCACAGCCCACGGATGCAAGCCTGAGAAGAAAAGAACAATCCTCAAAGGTGAGAAGACATAAGAGAACAATTATTTTAATTGAGTAAAATTTGCCAAGATTAGATAAACTCTGTCTTAGAATGCTGAAAGAACAAGCAAACAGAATTTAGATTCTAGGTCAGTAGTCTTTGAGGAAATGTGAGGACCAGAAAGGTACCATGAGCTTAAAAGGAGCAAAACCCCAATTTTCAAACTGATGAAAATAAAGTACTAAAAAATTGAAATAAGTATAGCTTATATTGATCCTTGGCAAAATACAAATTTATTGCAATCAAACTATAATATTCCAATCGCCTTATGGTTCCCAGCTCTTCCTATTGAGAAAAGCCAAACCAAACCAAATTGCCTTCAGATTGGCAAAAATATTTACAAACCTGCAAAATATCTTCAGCCTATCCCCTATATACACCAGACTCAGCATTTACTGAGTTTTTGCTGTGTGCAATGCCCACCCCAATAGACATCCCTGCCTGATCTGGTAGGTGCCATTAAGAAAGGTCACCTAAGATTCCTTTTACCTTTTTTTTTTTTTTAAGGTTTTTATTTATTTATTTATTTGACAGAGAGAAAGCATAAGCAGGGGGAGCTTCAGAGGGATAGGGAGAAGCAGGCTCCCCACCAAGCAGGGAGCCCAACGTGGGGGCTTGATCCCAGGACCCCGGGATCATGACCTGAGCCAAAGGCAGAAGTTTAACCAACTGAACCACCCAGGCGCTCCTACCTTCTTCTTCTTCTTCTTCTTTTTTTTTAAGATTTTATTTATTTATTTGAGAGAGAGTGAGAAAGAGAGCACAAGTGGGGGGAGGGGCAGAGGGAGAGGGAGAAGCAGACTCCCTACTGACCCACTGAGCAGGGAGCCCCACGTGGGGCTCAGTTGCAAGACCCTGGGATCATGACCTGAGCCGAAGGCAGATGCTTAACCGACTGAGCCACCCAGGCACCCCTTCTTTTACCTTCTTGTACCTACGTTGCTTTTGTTTCCAAGGACTCTTCTAAATAGGACTGTCCTCAGATTACTCGAACCAGTTGCCTGGTGGCTCAGAGAATGGAAGGACCTGAGAGTTTATGTCAGTCCTACAGCACCCAGTGACCCTACCTGTAAATCATTATCCATGATTGACAGGTACAGGCATAGGAAAGCCCAGCTACTTGACTTGAGGGAGCCTTTGTGGTGAATTAGCTTTCGGAAAAGGGAATCTAGAGGTGAACTTAGTAAAGACCCAGGTAGATAAACAGAAGGAAATCGTTGCCTTGGAAATCCAATTGAGAAAGAGAGATTCACCTCAGATCGTAAGAAGGAAGATTAAAATCTTTAGGTCCTGGGGCGCCTGGGTGGCTCACTTGGTTAAGCAACTGCCTTTGGCTCAGGTCATGATCCTGGAGTCCTAGGATCAAGTCCCGCATCGGGCTCCCTGCTCGGTGGGGAGTCTGCTTTTCCCTCTGACCCTATCCCCTCTCATGCTCTCTCTATCTCATTGTCTCTCTCAAATAAATAAATAAAATCTTTAAAAAAGAAAAATCTTTAGGTCCAATGGGAAAGAAGCCCATGGTGGGACAGCTAGAGAGAAACAAAGAGAACCATGGGAAATAGGGCAGGTCTCCTAAGTAGTTTTAAATCTGGCTGTCATTATAAGAACCTGGTAAGGTTTTGCCTAACACAAATGCCTAGATATCACAGCCAGAGATTCTGATTAAAATGGTTTTACATGTGTTTGGGGTATTCATTTTTAAAAAGCTCCTAGGTGAGGGACACCTGGGTGGCTCAGATGGTTAAGCATTTGCCTTCAGCTCAGGTCATGATCTCAGTGTCCTGGGATCGAGTCCTGCATTGGGCTCCCTGCTGAGAGGGAGCCTGCTTCTCCTTCTCCCTCTGCCCCTGCTGCTCCCCCTGCCCCTGCTGCTCCCCCTGCTT